TGAAAAAATATTGTTAAATCTATAAACATTAAGCAAATTAAAAACTTTTGAACAAAAATTTAATTACCAGGCATATTTTATAATATTTATAACGACAGTAAATAGATCGATACCATTTCTTTAGTGTTCGATTGTTTTTCTTTCTCTGCCATGTTTTGCCGTTATATTGAAATAATTTAATGATGATAATTTTAACAGATTCTGAGACAAGATGCCTTACGATAATAAACGGACCACCCTGCATAAAATTCGTGTCTGCGACTTATCTACGGCTAGTCGACAGCTTCATATTTCTCCATACTTGGATGTTTCTAAGTTGGATTAATATGTACAGCAGCAAAATTTAGAGAACAAGAACTAAGTTGTCTTATTCATGCATGAATTATTTTTTTTAGTAACTCTAATTCATTAGATATGATTCTTCTTCTGCTTCTTCTTGTTCTGATCCTGTATGCATCTTGCACGCTGGGGTTCATTATTTAACTGAATTTAAGGGTGTTATGTTCTTTCTGACGGAATAATGCGGTCACTTCTCGTATATCGCACCAGTTTCTCTGATATTCCAAAGCCATAAATGCAGCTTTCAGGCACTTATATAGCATACGTGCATACACTTCGCAGAGTAGGTCCAAAATATGACATTTTTTGTCATTTTTATATTTTGTATAAGCTGCCTATCCTGATTCGCTATTCTCAGAACTTGCTTATTTGACACCTGTTTGGTGAATGAAATTATATATAGTAATAATAATAATAATAATAATAATAATAATAATAATAATAATAATAATAATAATATTTATTTTAAATTTTTTACATATTATAACAAAGTGATATGACGTCAAACATAAGTCTGTCACAAATAAATTAACTAGCCTATTACATATTCTACATTTTAACTGGATTAACAATTGTTTAATTTTCGTCTTGAACAAACGTTGACTCTCAATCCGTTTAATATACAGTGGTCACTTATTGTAAAGCATAACACACATATATTCCGTTCCTGTTTCAGTAATTTGAAGGCGGTGTATCGGGTAGTTAAAACTGTCCGCCCTGGTTTCTCTATAACTATTTCTTAAATGGTGAAAACGGTTTAAATTTCTACATAAAAACATTAGACATTCAAAGATGTACAATGCGTACACCGTCAGAATTCTCATCTCTCTAAAGCCATTTCGACAAGATTGAATTCTGTCCATTTTCATTAAAACTCTAATTGTTCTTTTCTGTGACACAAATATATCTTGTATTCTACTGTGGCGCCCCCAGAATATTATTCCATATTTAAGTACAGATTCGAAGTTTTAAGGTTTTATTATCTAAATACTTGCCAAGAGCTCTAATTCCACAACATATTGAATTTAGTTTGTTTAGTAAGTGATTTATATGAAATGTCCAGTCCAAATTTGCATCAACGAAAACGCCCAAAAACTTGACACTTTCCGAAACGTCGAATGAATTCTCCGCGATTTCTAGTTTTGTTATATTTTCAATTTTTTTTTGTATTTTCTAAGACCGACCTTGATTAGTCGTAAGCGAAGATATTGATGGAGTATATTTTCAAGTTTAGAAACTGTTTGTCTATAGCAATATTTGGTAATAACAGCCCCATTAGTCGTTAATGACACTACCAAGGTATCTGAACTTATTTACCTGTTCTACTCCTTTGCCCTTTATTGTGGTCTGTGCATCCAGTATGTGTATTAATTATCGTCGTTTTGATTGTTAGGTCATCTAGCATATTGGTTAGAAATACTGTGTCATTTCCGTAGAATCTAATTTTCGTAACTCCATTAACCAAACCAAGTTGCAATATCTTTTCGACGGGGATGTCAAACGACAATGGTGAAAGGCATTCCTGACGCAAATTCTTTAATACACTAAATAATGCAATTTTATCATTAATTTTTGCTTAGACTGATTGGTGAAAGTTTATGCTCATGTCCTTTCCGTCTAGTTCAATTTCGCGTAGTCATGGAGAGACCATCAAAAACTCTCTGTTTCACAACATGTTATACGTAGCAAATGAGAGTCTTCTCATTAAATTACATAAAATGTCTGATCAAAATGCACAAAAAAGAAAATAGCTTGTGCTAAAGCTGCAGCTATATTTCAATAAATTTCGTGAAAAAAACGAAAGATCTTACAACGTAAGTGTTACTTGATAACGACATTCCATTTCGAAATAACAATTATTCATCCCTCATCATCTCTTTAGAAAAAAATTAAAAATATTAGCGTACAAATATGGATCAATTGTAATTTAATGGCTCCATAGGAAAACAATGGACAAAGAAGAAGCGAGCTTTCTTTGTTTCTGGGTGTTCTAACGACTGCGCTGAAAATTTCTATTCATGAAAACGCCGAATTTTAATGCGACATCCATTTGTAACGTAATACGTCCTAATTTTATGGTTTTCAAATCTCAGAGTTTTTTTAGGAGTCCATGGAAAAATATATATAAAATATATTTGTATCATGATTGTTTTGAAACCGTTTCTTCCATGAAGGTGATCACTAATAAAGAAAATAATGGATTTTGAAGAGCATATATATAAAAAATTGAACAAAAAGTTGCGTCAAGCACAATTGAATTGCCTTCAAATTCAATAATCTTGTTTAACCAGTCGATAACTTCTAATTTTCTCCAGGATGATGTTGTATAGGATAGCTTGCGTCCTAGAAGAATGAATTCTTCCTGCACGATAATCGGTGAGTTTGTAATGGTTGAAAGTGTTAACACCATCTACACTGTTACTTTGGGTAAGCTGGGATTCAGCTTGGAGGACATTTTTAGTCCGTTCGATATTGTTCTGGTTACGCAAGGATAATTTGATAAGTTTATGAACTAGTAGCTAATAATTGACATGTTGACAAGCTATGTTATCAGGTCCCAAGGTCTTATTGTCTGTGTTTCTTTTTTACATAGTAGATAGTAAGCACCTGTAACTCAGAGTCTCTTTGCAATTAGACAAGCATATTTTCGAAACTTCAGTTCATGCTTTGTTTACACTTCATCGTTTTTTAATTCTAATGGTTTACCGAAACACATTATACCATACATTATTTCCATTCCATGTTAATATTCTTATTAATAATTAATTATTAATTATCTTTTATGATTGATAGGGTGGAGACAATTTTGGTTGCACAAAGAAATTATAAGTCATACAGTCATGTAAAAAATTGATTCTTTTTATTGAATGTAGTTTGCAGTTTAATAATCATGTTAATAAAATATTGCAAAAATCATGTTATGCATTTAAATCACAATATTTGTAAGAAGAAATTGTAAGTAAAGATATAAAAATTTAGCTTTGTGACAGTCTTATAATGTTTCAAGTCGGTTATTGTGCAAGAGTCTTTTAATCTCATATACTATGAGATATATTGCTGATCGGAACATAGGAAATCCAATGTAAATTTTTAGGTGGCCAAAAAATTTTTTAATTAAAGGTAAATATGCTGTATTCAATTGAAGAAAAAGTAACCATAACTAAGTGGTACTGTGCAGGAAGCAGTCTTAGAGCAGTGTCTGAAATGAAGAAAACACTTTTCAAGTGAGCCCAAAGAAGGAAGTCGTTCGGCGAGAGGTCAGGTGTCCTGAGTGGCCAAAGGATTCGGCGCCTTGGGCCAATAATATTCTTATTAAAAGTATTTCTCAAATACAAATATGGGCGGGACAATCATCCATCTGATATCAGATCTTCACATCTTCGCGAATAACAACTTCTTCTAGTGCGGGTTCAATTTAATTTTGTAATAAGTCCCAATAGGTTTCTACCATGAGGTAGTTCAAATAAAAGAGTCCAATAATATCATGTCAGCAAATTCCCACCATAACATTTATTTTTTGAGGATATTAGTTTCCAGTATGAACAAAACAATATTCTTTGTCTTACCTCCAAACCGACAGTTCTGAACATTTAGTTCGTTGTTGAGTGTGAATGTGGATTCATCAGTGAAACAAATATATTTTTTTAATCCCTATCATTATTTGTTTTTTTCATCATGTCAAAACAAAATGCTACTTTTCTTTCTTCATCGCTTGGCCGGAGCTCTTGCTTTTCGTAATTATAGGAAAAATGTTTATGTTTTTTTAATGTGTACAACACTGTGCTTTGATGTTTATTAATAATCGTACTAATCATTTTGTTTTCCTCCACGAGCAGTAAAATGTTCAAATCTCTATTGCCTCTTACTTCTGCTCTATTATCTACATTTTGATCTGAACATTTGCGGTTATTTATTACGGTGCCTTTAGACTCGAATTGGACGGGCTAAATCTAACTCAAGGATATAATATGGCTCTGAGCTGTTTTCCATATAAACTCAACCAACATGGTGGTTTGTATCGCGTCCCCCGTCATGAAACAACTTTTTTTATGGGGCCTTTCAGTAACAATGCCGTGAAGTGTTATAACAAAATATCGCTGCAAAAAGATCTGGGTTTGTTTCCTGGAGGTTTTATTGAAAAGCGTATTCAATACGCATATCACCACCTCTAAACACTCTGTAGCCTAAATTGTTGTAACTATTTTAAATTAGGGCATTATTTATTTATTCATTGGTGAGGACCTTAGTTTCATTTTATTTTAATCTGTTATGTTGCTGTTGAATCTTTAATTAGGTTCTAAAATATCTGTAAAGTTTCTGTACAAAATAAATAAATAATTTCAGTAAGACTTTAAACACATTGTTCAGATTTGTTTATGCAAAATTCTTAATTAGAACTGCCGATTTTCGAACCATTAAGATATTTTATCGCAGTTATCAGTTTTGTGGATAATTACTTCCGACGAGGTTTTTCAATATGTCTCCATTATACCGTCAGTTACGGCGCGTAACCGCCCCTATAACCGTAATCCATTACGCCTCTATTTGGCTAATGAAACTTTCAGAAGATAATTGGAAATTAGGGAAAGCACCCGTCCACTAAATATTTCACGAATCGCAACTTTCCGACCCGTGTTCCACTAATGTAGCATTCAGGAATAATGTCACACATATGCGACAACCTGCCGCTGAAATCGCTGCAGAAAATGAACATCGAACAGTGTCCTTCCTACAAAATCAAAACGATTCAAAACAGCTTGAAGCAGGAAGAAAAGGCCGAACGGAGAAAGTCGACGGACGACGTTAAATATTCCAGCTCCGTGAGGCCCAGATCGTCGAGAAGCTTTTCCGAAATTTTCTTCAGGAACAGAACAACGCGTAAGTAACGTTACTACGAACATCGTTAGACGTTTAAGTAGTAATTCCGTTACCCCGTAATTAGTAACAAGATTACTTGATGGTTTGAATGAAAAATTAACTTCGCGATTTTTTCTTCTTGTACTCGCAATAATTTTGGACCTTTGCCCCCTGATTTTCAATTTTAGGTAGATTACGTCCGAAGCGACGAAAATGATAATAAAAAAATAATCGCAAAAACAGACAAAATATAAACGTACCTCCAGTGTGTTTATTATGGGATGACACCTTACCTCTGAATGCGTAAAAAAAACTAGAGACGAAAGTTATTTGGATCCACTTATACTTTCAAAATATTACATTGTTATATATACAAAATGTGGACAAGCAACAACTTTCTTATTTTAAATAGCACACCCTGTGTATTAAGTAATTTTTGATTTCTTCGGAAATTGTTGGATACATGTTCAAAATTGTATAATTCAACTCTTTCCATTTTTGATATAAATTTAATTTTATGTCCATCCATTTTTCCGACTGATTGCCTTTGTTATATCCACTGTAAATTATTTTCGAATTTCTGTAAAAGCCTCCTGGGGGCTTACTTATTATCTTAAATTTTAAAATTCGGTTTTTACAAAAATTTACAATGTTAGTCATAGTTACAGTTACTATTTTAAACCAGAGACAAATTCAAATCTTTGCTGATTTTTGATTTACAAGGAAGGAGGTGGCAGTGTCTCACTATTCCTTTAAATAAATGTCCACATCTCCAAAACGACTTAGAGCATTTTAATAAACTTGTAGTCGTTAAAAGGGATTTTTCCTAGGCTATCAATTTTTGCCATGAGTTACGCGATTGTGGTTGCTTAGCTTACCACCAGGTGGAATTCTCTGTCATATTCGCAAACAAAATAATTTTCTGAATAAAGAGTAAATACAACGACATGAGCTTTTTATGTTATTAGATAGCCACCTAAGAGCTCAAAAACCAATTAAAAAATTTGAATAAAGAAACTTAACGCTCGAAAAAAAAGTTAAATATTGGGAAATATTACATATTGATATTGATGCCTAATTGTCTGAATCAAAATAAAATGTTATTATATATGTTTATTACTTTTTTATACAATTAATTCGTAGTACCTACACCAAGTACGTGAGGTGCTTAGCTGTTGTCAGATATTTATTATTATCATTTATTTTCCTATTAAGCATTACATTTGATTTGATTGATGGATTGTTGGAGATGAACTAATTTAAATTAATTTAAACAGTGAAATGTGGAAAACTATTTAGAAAATGAATAACACATCTTTTTTGACAGATATAACAACGCAAATAATTTTTGTTTTTATCTGATCAAACTCCAAGAATCTAGCATGTCGTTTTCTGATGCCTGTCAAAGTTTCTTGATAATCCACCATTTTAGTTATTTCAAGCTTGTTAAATGTATATTGCAATGGAATTGGCTTGGTTACTTAAACGCATCTTACCCCAGTGCCCAGAAGAAATCGATGCGTTAAGAATCTAGAAAAATACTTATTCAAATATTTCAATACACATTTTACTACGTCAATAATTAATAAAATTGTTTTAATTTTCAAAAATTGATAGTTTTGGTTGGTTTGATAATACTTAATTTTTAAAACTACTAGGCAATTCCCAACATACTAATGTCAGCTACGTGGTAGTTTGGTGCCCTTTGAGTGTATTGTAAAACAGTAATAAAGATAATAACATTATATATAAATTTTAAAAATCATTTGGCATCTGATATGATAAATTTGAATTTAATTTCGTAAATTATGGACAATCAAACATCAGTAACAACCCGTATAGTGCAAAATTTTCCCAAAATCCATTTTTTTTAGAGCTAAGTTCTTTTATTCATACTTTATTTGACAATCTAACGTGAAAAAAGCTTATATTGTTGCATTTACTTTTTTTTCGGAAAATTATGTTTTTTTGGGTCAGAAAACTCCACCTGGTGATAAGGCAAGCATTCAGAATCGCTTGAACTGAGGTGGCTTGTACTTGATGGAAATCCATTTATTAAGATAAATAATAAATAAAAGTTCAAATTTTCACGAAATTATATATTTTTACATTACAATTGTTTCGACAACACTGTGTTTTTACCAAATGTTCGTAAATATTACATTTGATAAAGACACGGTGTTGTCGAAACAATTGTCATGTAAAAATATATAATTTTGTGAAAATCTGAACTTTTAATTCTTATTTATTTTGAATCAGAATCGCTTCATAGCACGATTGGCCTAGCAAAAGCTCGGTGTAACGAGTTCAAGTTTATTAGAATGCATTAAGCCTTTTGGACATTTATTAAGGAAAATGTTCGAACATCTCCCACAACTTTTATCAGCTTTAAAACTTCAAAATAACAATTACGCGTCCTGGTGGGCATTTCAGAAACTCGAAAATGATTTCCAGCATTTTGTCTAAGTCGATTTACTTTTTGTTTTTTTCAAAACTATGCCTTCCAGCGTTAACATGTGAATTTGACCTAAGTTTCGCATGGACAAAATTAGTTAAAAATCCAATAAAATGTACTAAAATTGCATCGTTTTTAAGCAAGTCCTGTCCAGTTTAGATTTGGATAGCAAGAAGAAGAATAAATAATGGTGAAGATACCCATTGTGAACAAATGAAATTATTGTTTGGAAACATAATATTTCCAACTCTACAACATTTTCAAATAGGCAGCGTTGCACAAATTCTCCCTAAGTGTGCAAACATCACTTTTGAGACAAAATTCAAAACATGTCAAACATGGTATAGGTTTAGATTGTTTAGAGGAATTCAAACATTCCCAAATTAAAAGGGGCAAGACAAATCAGCGATAAAGAATATATTTGATTTATCGAGTTTCTATACTTCACGACTGCATCAGTCATATTTGCATCAGTTATTTGATCCCTAGAATAGAATAGAATAGAATTAGGGAATAGGGAAAATTTACTTTCCATTTTCTATTTCAAAGAGAAACAGAATTAAATAAACTAAAAATAAATTGCTCTTGTGAATGCAATAAAGCATATATTTGCAATTGCAGCCCTTTTGCAAAATTATTTATTTCATTTATTTTGCGCGCAAAGACTAATTCACAAAAGGGACAACCATATGGGCTACTGCTACAATGGCAATACTAAAGCCCGCATCTTATTGAAAGAAACATTTTTTTATTAATTAGTTTTATCAAATTTTGATCTTGCGGATAGTTTGTGCATCAAATAAATCGATTTATCAAAGTTTTTAAACATTACCTGTCGAAATTGATAGTTTTTATTAAAAACATATTTACAAATTCGTTTATTTTTAAAAATATCGAAAAATTTTGTGGAGAAAGTTGTTTCAGTTTCAGTTTTCTGCAAACTTGGTGATTTTCGAAAAAATCCGATTTATTTCATTTTTTTTTAACTTCTTCCAAAATGATTAGTTTTGTAACCCCGGAATTCCGAGAAGTCCGCAAATAATTCCAAGGGATTACAGAAGAATTCAATGAAATTCTAGCAGAAGCTCAAGAAATGTTATAGGAATTTCATGGAATTATAATTAATTAAATCAACTACGGAGTTCGTTATCCTAAACACTGAAACTCAAAGAAAATCTTCTAAGAAACCGTTCAGTTAATTAAAAACCAGTACACTTAATTTGTCAATGTGTAAGTGGTTCTTTTTATTTTTGACAAATAATTTCGCATGGTGTCAATTGTTGATACATATCTAAAAGTCAAGCATTTTCAAATGTCAAAGAAATAATTGCAAAAGCCTATTTGAAACTGCTCAAATAATACCAAAACTAACAAAACAATTGTATGGGTTTTTTATGAATAGAACTGTACTTATAAATCGTTCAACGTAATGCAAAGTTAATATGGTTTTAACTAACAAATAATTTACAAATAATTTTCGTAATAAATTCAAGGAAACTTAGTTTTTAAAATGGTAAATATTTCTATAGGCGCATTTGAATTGTTTAAATCGAGGGTTCAAGATAAATTTTAAGGAAAACACTTTTGTAAAGTCCTCAGTTTAATCCATCTAAGTAGTTGCATTCCTATTTTTTGATGTAACTACAAAAGAGTTAGGTTGGGAAAACGCGAAAAATTTTTTCCTATTTATTTTCACATTTTTAATATTTTTGATAATTGTATGTATATATCTATTATTTTTGCTGCACAAACTAACCCGAGGATCAAAATTTGCCAAAACTCATTATTACAAAGTGATCCATGACTTTAATGGTGACACTGTATATTAAAACCAAAGTTGGTTTTAAAAAAAACAGACATAGCTTTACCTTAATAACAATTATATTAATATAAATGTAAAATGTTGTTCAGAATAAAATGATTTATGGGAATTCTTTGAAAATCCTTTTTTTCCTCAACTCCTCTTCTTTCACCGGTACAGTCTTTCCTATACACTATTGATCTACAGTAAAATTCCCAGCGCGTCCCAATAGTGCGTGAGAGTTAGAAAAAAAAAATAGAAAGCTACACTGGCGCATAACCCAAGCTTCGTAAATATTTCCCATTTTGCAAAAAATATAGAAAAAATGTTGCTCGCTTTGTTGAAACTACTGCTCTGGTTAAAACAGTTAGTTAATGATATACAGAACACATTTATGTTTTTATTAGACACATAACTTGCTTTGAATAGAAAAAATAGTCTTCTAATTAGTTATTAATAAATTTGTTCTTATTGAAATAATTTATATGTACTCTTTTTTCATTCCGTTAGAAAAAATATATTAATTTAACCTTTAATTATTTCATATTGTTGCTATTGAAGTCAAATCTCATCTACAACTTAAAGCACCAACATGACCGAAACTATCTAGTGTCCATAGGTCAATTTGCATTTATGTATATATGTATTAAAACAATTATAAAAACGATTTTTTCTAGTGAAAATTTGATTACCATGATGATTTTTTTAATAATAAACCTTTTCCTTGTACATAGACACAAAGATTTTTTTCCGGGCAGATATGTATGTAATGTATGTAATCGGTTTAGAACGTTTTTCGACGTTGTCCAACGCCTTGCCTCCACCTGTTTCAATCTTTCCAATCGACATCTTGCTAGTTTTTTGCGCTCATCGCTTTTGTTGCGCCCGGTTTCCAGTAGGTTTTTGGTCTTCCTCTTTTCCGGTGTTGCCTAAGTTGTCATTCCATTGCTTGTTTGGGAAGTTTTGTATGTGGCATTTGTTGCACTGTTCCATACCAAATTAATTGTTTCCTTTCAATATCATCTAGACCGGTTCCTTCGATGCCCCTAATTTCTTTGACTCTGTCGTTTCGAACCCGTTCCTTTCGGAAATTCTTAGTGACCTACGCATTGCATCCATCTCAACAGCTTCTACCCTTTTTTTAATGTCTCCAACTTTCAGCACCATATAGTAGGCTGTATTTTACTAATTTTTCATATCTATTTTTTTTTTAAATATATTTTTTTTCTGTACTATTCCCTTAAGACATGCTTTTGCTTTTTGGCTGTAGTTATTCTTTTTTATATTTCCTTGTTGTCTGTTCCTGTTATATCAAAAGTTACTTCCAGATATTAAACAGTGTTGGGGATATACAACATCCCTGTCTGAGGCCTATATTTACTGGGAATTCCTTAGTGACATATTTCCCTAACTTCACTCTTCAAATCTGCATATTACTACTTTGGCCATTTGAAGTTTCCATTAAATAATTGTATTTGCCATTTAAATAGTATTTTATTCCATTTAAAACTAACATACGTATACCTAACACAAACAAAAATGCAAATGTCTGGAAAACTATGACTTTAGGTATAGTACTCCCTTATAAATGGTATAGTACCTCCTTATAATTTCAGGAACAGCATGAAATAAAGAAAACACGGATATTACATTTAATAGAAAATGAGATATGCTGATTAGCTCTGATTAAGTGTATTGACTTAAACCGTATCGCAATTTTAGCAATATTTCTGGCAAAAGTCGAAAACATTTTTCATGAGGCGCTTCAATTCATATGTTACGGAAACAATATTAGCTTAAACGCCTAAACTTCAAATTTTTGTTTTTCAGTAACACGTTATTAGAAACTTTTCTTTCTACAATGATTTCGATTCTACTAGGTCGGAATGGTGAACTGAAAGAGCAATGCGGTAGCAACGAAACCTTGAGAACCAATGGTAACGACGAACACATGGTCAACGGTAAAAGTGAAGAAGACTTGAAAAAAGGCACCACTATCCATTCAACACCCACCTCCACTCTGGATGATGGTTACGAGTCATCGAATAGTACCCCATTGGTTTCCGGTAAGCAAATTATTTCTGCCATCTTGGTCTACAATAGGTTTACTGGGATTGACTTGGGAATACACTACGTATGACCCATATGATTTTTCCTTTATAACTCTTTTTATGCTGTGTTTAATAGTTATGAGTATATTAAAAAAATTGCAAAGAAAATGCTATTTGCTCACCTCCGGCGAAACGAACGTATTCGTTTTCTGGCGACATAAAATTATAACGCGGTTAAATATATCTCCAAAACTGTTACAAATTTAGTAAAACTGCAAGTTCGCTAATAATTTCACGGTATCTGCCTTGAAAAAATACTTCTGATTGGTGTCTGGCCGTTACCTACTTTTTTTTGCAGAAACTGCATTCAGAGTTTAATTCCGCTGCCAGTACTTTTAGATACTGTGAATCTTTCCGACGGTATACGCCAATCAATGCCATTTCTAGACACCTCAAGCCCTAGTAGGATCTCTATATAATGTAATGGTTATCGGTGAAGGTCGCGATTGTTTTATCACTATTTTTTTCCACTCTTCTCAGATTGGGATTTAAATCCGGTAATGTTTGACAGTGCAGTATTTACGGCACTAGACATATGCACCCCTAGCGCTTGCCCTGCCTTTATCTTCCAGTATTGTTTGTCCAATTTGCTGCCATGTCTATCAATTTGCGTTGCCTTGTTTTGATCTATACGTCACGGATCTTGGTTTGTCTTGTGTATAAATCTGTTTTGATAGAACATTCAGTAGACTCGCAGACTCACTAGCCTCTGTAAGCTAGTCAGCTGCTTTTTCTGATCCACCTGCTTGGACTCTATCCAACAAACAACAGCTCTTAAGTTATGAAATTATTAAATTATTATTAATTATTATGAATTACTAAAAAAAAGAATAAATATAAATAACAAAATTTTATTCCGATTATTTATTTCAACTTTTTAGGTAGTTTTATGTTTTTTGTTACTATTTTAGGTAAGGATAAAGATATTGAGGTGCCCTTACTGGAACATCTGGTATTTTCTCGGTGATTGTTATTGCTAAAAAAGAATTAATTTAAATTTGAAGGATAGACTTGAATGCTGTTTGTTGCCAAGAACCACATAGGAATATCTAACAAAGTCGGATATAATTTGATGTCGAAATTAACACTCCAGCCACACATAGCTATAAAAAAAAATTTTAGAAGTCAAATTTTATATTTTTACTGAATATAAAACGCCGGATGACCTTTAAAATAAGGGGAACGCCACAGCGGCAATTGCCGGAGAAACATCCTCATCTACTCAAGTAACCTGTTTAATATTGCCATTAAAAATAAGTGAGTTAGCAAAGTGACACCCCAGAGCTATAAACAATTACAACTTGATTCCATTACATAACGATTTTGCCGGAGAAATTATTTGCGTTAGCAATTTCTGAGATCGGGATGAGGTTGCTGCTCCGGTCTTTCGAGAGGTGCTAGTTTTATGAGTTTTAGAAATGAAACGGAAGGATAATTAGATAGTTAACATTCGTGCAGGTAATATGTTTTCGTTAAAAAGTCGCCTCTTGTGTAATGTAAGTTATTATGGGCACAAAGGGATTACACAATGACCGAAGGAATATTTCGTTGAGTCACTCACTTTCGTGGATGATTATTTATTTCTTTATAAAATTCTTTCTTTTTGTAGAGTTTTCTTTTCTGCTGTCCTTCTTAAGAAAAAGTACTTGTAGAAGTCTGAACATTTTCGAAAACAAATGTGAATATTTTTTGTCAAGGTTGTAAGAGGGCTCGGCTCTTCTTAGCCCATCAACGCTGCCCTGGGCGGAGTAATTTCGATTGGTTGTAGGGACTTTTGTGACGATACAAATGCTAGAAAGATTATGTCTCTTACCTTAAACTATTTAATCAGTTAAAGAAGAATAGACACAAAATTATTTTTCCATCTTTAGGAATATTTTTAGTAATTATTGAATCGCAATTGTAGTTCTTTTAGCAAAATATATATAAATATACTGTTAAAATACACATATATATTTAAAATGATAAAAGAAATTAATACCCATCTAATATCATAAAATCTAATCCCTACGAAGTAGTTTTAAAAGCAGCAGCCATGAACACAACTGATTAGCAAGAAAAACTTCAAAGCTTCAACTCTAAATCTGCTATTAAAGCTTCTTCTCTATTAGCATCCGTGAAAAAATCTGTTGCCCCTCACTCCCTAGATTCACAAATAAGGGTTACCCCTTCGAACTATTGTTAACACCATTTGTTCTGTAGCCAATTTGCGAACAAAATATCCAATTTCTGTACTAAAATGCTCTACAGGGAAAACTGTCAGTTTATGGTCAGGTTCCACATACTGTGTACTGTAAAGTAATGTTCATATTCCTGAAACTCTCAACATAATTTCTTTTATATTAAAATCCGAGAATCTGGAATCAAGTCGTCTTATCTAAATTGAAAAATGTTTGGTCTGAAAAACTTTTTTCTTGCAACTGTCAAATTTTAAGCAGCAAGGGCAGCTACAAATTCTCTATTATCCCAGACATTGGCAAATATATTTGTGGAAGCTTTTGGAAAGAACGCTCTTCACACTTTCCATCAGAAAAGAAAACTATGGACAGGCCATATTGATGATACTGTTTTTATTTGGCCTCATGGTCAAGAATCCTTCCTAGATTTTCCAAAGTATTGTTACTCTATACACACGTTTTTCCAACGAATTAGAAACTTAGAGTAATTTCCCGTTCTCAGATTCAATTTGCAGAAAACCTTCACACATATCTTAATACATTGTCACATCACCATTTGACCCAGAAGTCATCGGTTATCAACTTTCCTGTTTACAGAGCCATTAAACTCTCAACCGGAATGAGTGGACTGAGACACGTAGATTCTGCTCTTCTTTAAAATAATTTCCAAATTAGAATTATTAATTGTTCCATTACAAAATACACCTCACCATAACTTCCCAAAGAAAATAAGTCTTAAAGCCTCCTCCCATTTACTTATATGATCCTTCCTTAAATTTAAAACATAATGTTGCAACCAAAAATCTCTCAACGTCGTCGACTCATCAAAGGCAAAATTCCCTTTGAGACATCAGGAGTTTACAGAATGAATGTGCCGCAAAGAATAATTTGAATCACCATTGGAGAAACAAGAGGAAAAATATCAACTAGGCTAAAAGAATGTGAAGGAACCTTTAGCAACATGGAAATCAGTCATCCGAGACAATGTTCATGCTTTTGCTCCGCTTCCCTCAAACAGTGTATAACCTAGTACAGAGTAGAATGCATATAAATTTCAGTTAAGGTAAACAGGATTATTGGCGAAATGACAGCAAATTCGATTCATCAACAACCGAGGAATTCAGAGTGTTGTAAATAAATATAAAACAAATTTAATAAGATTTCAGATCATCATGGAGCCCAACCATTCGCAATTCTAAGATAAGATGTTTCTATCCATCAAACGGATATTGTGAATAACCCTGTATCTTCAATGCAACAATAACTTTGATAATAGACATCATTCTTGCCTCTAAAAAATAGACTGAAATGTTAAGATACGTTTGTCTAGGCTTCCTCGGCACGTCGAAAGATTGAAGAGCAGATTATAATTAAAAAGTTTTAATGGCTTTTTAGCAACATCAGCTTCCTTTTTAAATGTCCAAAATGAACGAGCAGTTGTTTTAATAAACTTTTCAAACAATTCGCCGCAGGTTTGTGGCAGGTGTATATAAAACGAGTCGAAATTAATCCGGAAGCTCTATGCTTTTTTAAATTGTGTTTCCTTTGTGGTTCGTCAGTGTAGCTTTTATTAGCAGATGTAGAAAACTCCTGTTAATTGACTTTAACTTTTCTTTATAAACTCTATCACAGGTTAACTGCTAGTTAAGATTTAAACTTTAACTTACTTTGGGTGTACTTGGGAGAGCTCTTAATTCGTTGCTGACTTTTTGTTAACAAGGCAAAAATGTGTGGATTGCACAAAAAATAGCAGATTTTATTTATTAAGGAATCAACAGAACAGAGTTCTAATTAAAAATTACAATATTTGATACCTACATATCGAAAACAAGAATAAAAATGTATTGTAAGTTTCCTTCGTACTTCTAAGGCCGGTATGCATACTCAATTCTCAGTGAATCGCCAGGGAGTATATAAAATTAAATTCATGTAGGTAACTCGCAACAGATGGAATATATATTTACCATGCTTTTTAAAAATCAAAATCTTAAAATATTCTTTTGCACTTTTTCACCTAGATGCTTATGGACCACGTCATAGGGTAACCAAATTATTGCAATGATTTTAGTATGCTACGAACAAACGAATTGTAGTGTATTTTTAGTGGTTTTAACTTAATAAATTAGAATAATACCCCCAGCATTCCATAAACTTCTTTTGCTCTATTGGTTAGTTCTGTCCCTTGTAGGTCTTTACACTCATTTGTACCTTATTAATTGAATAATATGGTAGAACTTAATACTTTCCTTTGTTCTTGTTATAGACACGTAGAGCCTATTTTTAATTTTGAATAATACCAAAAATATTAGTTTAGGCCCAACAGTGAACCATTTCCAAGATAAAACCACTTACCGATTTGTGTGTTTTCTATAAATTGAATGACCGAAATTTAGGTCTGATTTCATCTGGATTAGAGTATCTTATTATGGTGAGACGATTTCATTTTAGATTTTTCGAAAGTTTCAGAATTAAAAACTTGAGTAAAGAAGGAATGCAAGTCGAAACTAACCAAAAGATCGATTGGATGTAATGTAATGGTTTTGCTTGTCCAATGAAGTGAAAACAATTTAGTAAAAAAAAAAGTTTTGTGTCCTTTCCTTAGGTTCGTCTTTCTCAAACAATCTATAATGAGGTACAGAGTAGAATGCAAATCAGTTTCAGTCAAACTCTAACAAGCTAACAGGATGATTGGCGAAACGTTCAATTTCAATTCATCAACAACCTTTGCAGTAGGAATCCGATTGATTTGTAAATAATTTCAAACATATTTACTAGGTC